GTTCGCTTAAATGCCAATTAGTATAGCTCAGTTGTGTGCCATCCAGAACTGGAAATTGCCTGGAATGGGCGATTCCTTTATCCCCAGGTAGGCGTAGGTATTAAAATTTTTCACAAAGTACAGAATGGCATCGTTCTCACCTGGGTTCCTTGGCGTGGCAATAGACCCTCCAACCTCTTTGCATTTTTTCAGCGTAGTTTAGAAATCAGCTTTTTCCCCATTGGTAGCAAATATTTTTCCTCCAGATGCAGTTATCTTCTTTTCCAAGGAGAGGACTGCAAGATGAGGTGAAAGCTGTTAAACTTTTATGCATTGTTTTGCGGTCACTTTGCTGCCAACTGTAATTCCCGCTGTTTTCCTCCATAACTTTAGATTAAACCCAGGAAAAGGTAAAGGAAGGGAAAACTTGAAATCAGAGATAAAAAAAGAAAAGAAGAAAGCCAACCCCCAAAAGCCAGAAGAAATCTGAAAAGATGAGGAGAGGGGGAAAAAGGAAGAAACACATAAATATACAGACAATGAAATAGGAGAAGCACAAAAGAGGTTGGAGAAGGGAGAGAAGGAAATAAGGAATTCTACATTTGGAAGAAGTATATGATTTTTTTGAGTCTCTGTACTCTGTGTAAGCTCTCTGAGACGGTTTGCAGTATACAAGGGTGTATGTCAGTCCTTAAGTGAGTGGGATCTTAGATGTGATCTGGTTGTGACTGTTTTGGTATGTTTTTAGTGTTCCGTTTATTTGTCTGTTAGGAGCGCGAGGTGCCCATGGAGCACTTCTGCGTAAGCAGGGATTTTAATCTGATATATTTCTGACTTGCTTGCACCCCTATTTCAGAGCTATTACCTAGGTGTCTCCCACTAGTTATGAAAACCTAATCCTCCCTTCCCCCCCATTTGGGAGTTATCACTCTCCTATCTACCAGTGAACAAAATACAAACGGAACGCAATAAAACCGCAGAAGAGTCTGCTTTTTTCCTAAGAAGCCATTTTGTTGCTCATCTTGTTTATGCTCACTAATCCAGCAGAAAGTAAAGGCAGATAAATTACCTCCCGCAAGTCTGGAAATCTGATGTTCTAATTGACGGATGTCTTCCATTTCGTTATCAACCAGTGGTAGGAAACCTGTGAACAAAACCAGCTATTACGCACTTTGTTACAGTTTGAATCTTGGCTTTCGAGATAAAGCAGAGGTAATTACGTGAAATTAATATAAGCTTTTAAAATGTTTGTTTGACCTGTTTTAGTTTACTGCTTCTTTTTAAACAGGGGATCTTTTCAGACATTGATCTTTGTAAGGATAGGGAATACTTTCCCGGAAACTACCTGCAGAGCAGCGATGTTTATGCAAAACTTGAACTGGCAAACTGAGTTAGTCTTCGCTCTCTAAGTGATTGAGCCAGTCCAGGCAAAACACTGGCACTTGTGCAGTAGGTTGAGTTGATTTTTAACTGTGTCTAGGGATTGTTGACAGAATCCTTCAGGCTGTTCAAGCACTTGCTTGCAGCTCCAACCTAACACCTAGCAACAAGTTTCTTGTACCCTGTGTTATGGAAAATGATAGATATCCTTTTCTCTGTGAATTGAACCATTGTGTCATTAAGTAGGAGAGATTTAAGCATCTTACTTGATACAAGGAATTAATAAAGATCTGTTTATTTTCTATCAAGTAGGACCCACATCAGATTATACAGCATAGCACTGAGTTTACAAAGCATAGCAATGGAACACGACAGTACATCTAGATAAAAATGGACATGGTAACTGCATGTACCTGGTATAAAGCCTTCATCATATTCAGGCAAGCGCACAAAACTGGGCCGTGGAGGAATTCCTGCAAGAGCACAGCACAGGAGCAGGAAAAAAGCTACTCCAAAGATTTTGTGGAACAACTGTGGAGACAGCATTATTTAAAGCCAAATGTAAAACAGACTGTTTTACTCTCCAGTGTAGAGTCCTGTGTTTAAAAAAAAAAAATGCAAGGTTTCAGAATTTTGCTGTCTGGGTTTGAAGTTTTATGTACCGTAAGCTTCGCCCTCAGCGACACGAACGTCATTGATGTAGTTGCGAAGTTAGGTTATTACAAATAATTAAAATCTTTTTTCCAAAAGACTCAGTCTGTTAGTCTACCTAAGAGTTTAAGCTACAGAGCAAAAACCCAAAGCATCCCCTTCAAAGCTCTTTTTTTTTGTACGGCAGATATACCATTTTTCCCATGCAAAAAGCTACCCTTTCAGTCTTTATATGGGGGAGCAATAGACATGTGTCTGCTTTAGTAAGAGAAAGTCAGGTTACAATAAACTGGGACACAGTCTTTATCAATTGGTTTAGAGTGAAACAATTGTTAATGCTTATTCTTCCATTATGGCATCCATCTTTTAAAGTACCTTCACCTGAGGTCATAATCCTCTGTAAAAGCAGGTGAAAGTTTTAATAAAATTGTTGAGACACAAAGAAAAAAAATCTAAAATGAAAGGTTTGTGATACAGTTTAAGAGGATTCAACATAATTTAAATGGAAATCTATTTAAAGATGTTCAACTTACCTAGCAGCTCCAATATGAAATAAGACAGACTCTTTAAATGGTCTAATTTATAGGACATGTAACTTGAGATTCGTCTTGTTACCTACAGGAAATACAAAGAGCATGTAATATGATGTGCATTTGCATATGAATAGAGATTTAATGAACTTCAACTTGAATGATAGGGGGTTTGTTTTCTTCAAGAGGTAAACACACTTAAAATGGGAGGAAAATATTTGAGGGTACTTTCTTGATTTGTAGAAACACTTTCACGCATTTTTTTAAAAAAGAAAACAACCCTGGAGCAGAACAAAGCAATTTCTCAATACATACTTGAAATACCTAACACTGCCACAGAACAGCTGTGTAAATGTTAAATTGTAAATGTCACTGAAGATAAGCCAAAACAAGGAGTTCACCTGAAATATAGTATGCAGTAGGAATATCACCATCGCTTTCATTACAGACTGAGGACATACCAGTGATAATTATTAATGTCTTGTAGCTAAACAGAATCTCATGATCATAGCAGCAAAGCCGAAAGACAATGGTACCTCTGCAGCATATGCAGAGGCAACAGCCACAGAAGCACATACTGAGATCACCTACAGAATATTCCAGGGGAAGCTTAGATATCATAAATAATAACAGTTTTACAGTACTAAGTAAGTAGTACACTTTTAGCCAACAGACCAATGACCTTTCAGTGAAGGAAAAAGCTGCTCTAAACCAGTTCTGTAAGTAGAGAGGCCTCAAGATGTGGAGCACTGCTGAAATGGAAATGCATTGCCATGCACTTCTAAGTTATTCTCAGCTGAGAGTTGTTTCTATCCAACAGAGACTTTTAGGAAAGGAGTTTCAGGCTGTGCTCCAGTTCAAACAAATAGATGTGGTCACCTCATCCTTGTGGTGTCAGGCCAGCACCCTGATGTTGCAGCAAGGCTAACAGCCGAGTCAGTTGAGGAATAGGTGCTTTGAGATTAGATGGGGAATGTGAGCAATATCCATATTAGTCTAAGATGCTACTGGATCTAAGCAAGCCTAGATCACCTCCACAGGCACTCTGCACCTGTACCTTCATACGGACCTCAGTAACTGATGTAGAGTCCTTTGTCATTGGTGTAGTGCCCACAGAGGCCTGATTAATTCCTGCAGCATTGTTTATTGAGTGCCCTGGAAAAGGCACCAGTCCTGTGAAAAATAAATAAGCGGTACCCAGTTGTATGTACCTTGACAGAAGAGGGACGATTTAAATTTGCATGAGGAACCTTTGTTTAAAGTTTCTTGTTAAATTTCAAGTTTCTTAGCTTTTGAGTGTTTGACTTAATGCTTTTAACATTCTTTTGGCTGAGGTTTGCTGATTGTTTTATGAAAAAACCCAAAAACAGAGAACATGAGACAAGCCATTACCTGGGGCCAGATGAGCCCTAGAAAAGGTCGCTGGCAGAACCTGGGCCTTTGCATCCATGGCGAGAACAACCTTAGCGCTTCAACTGCATCTGGAAGAAACCGCAGGTTAGGCGAGTGTGAGAAGAGGATGAGGCTTGGCCTCCATTAGTGGGTTTCACACGCTGACTGATGGCCTGGGAAACCCGGAGGGAGACAGAAGCTTTCTTGTGTGACAGGCTCCTTCTGAGAAGAACCGATGTAGATTTGATAAATTCTAAACTTGTCTTCACTTGATTGTCATCAGCATATTGATAAGATGGAGCAAGCTAAAATAGATATTTAAAAATACTTACGTTTCTGCTATGCTGGTTTATGATTGCCTAATAGCATATTCTATATAACTATCATAACTTGTAAACTCTTTTCTGATCTTGCTTTGAGCTGCACTTCACAGAAGCTCAGCAAGATTCAAGGATACAGATCTGCTAAAGGACAAACAATTTTTGAGTATCGAGGCAACTTTTCTTCTGTGTTTCCCCATCGATCGTTAAGAGGTTTTAGAATTTCAGTGCTAGTGAAGCAAATGAAGGATATTCTGAGAGTAGGTTCAGTGTTGCACAATGTAGGTAGGTAAATGCAAAACACGCCAAGGACAAAAGTTGGTCAATACTGCTTTCTTAGCTGCTTCAAGAAATACAGACACTAGAGTTGAATTCCAGTTTATGAAAGTGGGTGTGTGTTCCTTCCATGAGCCTGTTTGTTAGCCTTTCCTTTGTAGACTTAACCTCCTGAAAGTTGGGGATTTTTTCTTCATAGTGCTAGTCACACCTCAAGCTTGAAAATTCTTTTCTTGTTCTCTCAGTTTGTATTTAAATGGCTCCAACCCCACTTATATTTTTTGTTTACATTGATTTTGTGCTGTTCTGCTGTTGTTTCCATCCTACCTTGCTGCCACCTTGTCCTGTGCTTTCTGCATTTCCTTTTCTCTTCCAAATCGCTGTCAGACTGTCCCCAACAGCTCCCTTATGCCTGGGAATATCAGGAAGAGCACAGAGCATGTGGGACCTAGTGTCTCTCCTTTCCAGAGGAGGGCTGAGGCTATTTTTGCTGTGCTTTAAAAACAGAAGCAAAGAATTCAGCAAGATATGGACACCTGGGATGGCAAACTTCAAGGTGACTTTTTTCTTTGAAGTTATGAGCAGCATTTTAGAGCAGAAAGTCTTAATTAATTTTACCTGTAGACAGTGTGATCAGTGCTCATAAATGCTACTGCCATCTTGCTCCACTGACTTAAGTTATGTGTGAAGCATCCAAGTGGAGGTCACTAAATGTCTCTGATATGTCACTTGGGGCAGCTCAGCTGAAAAACACAGAAAGAAATAAAGAGGGTTTTGTGTTTAAAACAAATAGAAAGCAAGACAATATCTCATCTCTTCAATAGTTCTTAGTAGCAACATAGCATTCTAATGCAAGAAAAAAACCCTCATAAACGAGATGAAACTATTTTTCCATATATTCTGCAGTTGTCCTCCATTATCTGCAGAAGGTTAAATTGTTCATTACAGTCTTTACTATCATAATCGTAGAACCATAGAAAAGTTAGGGTTGGAAGGGACCTCTAAAGGTCATCTAGTCCAACTGCTCCCTGCAATGAGCAGGGACATCCTCAACTAGATCAGGTTGCTCAGAGCCCCGTCCAACCTGACCTGGAATGGTTCCAGGGATGGGGCATCCACCACCTCTCTGGGCAACCTGGGCCAGTGCTTCA